TCAAAATACCTTATATACTTAACTCTCACCGCCTCCCACACCCCATGAAATGCATGCATGTGTGTGTGTGTGTGTGTGTGTGTGCGTGCGTGCGTGCGTGCGTATGCGTGTGTGCGCGCGCGTGCGTGCGTGTGTGTGTGTGCATGCATGTAAAGCCCTTGCATCTGGTGGTCAAAAATTCAGTAACCAAAATTTGTGATATTTAGTACAAAGCAATAACCCCCCCCCACTGTACATCTACCCTGTAAACACCGGAAACTAATCAAATTTCACCAAATTACATTGACGGGGCGTTTAGGCACACTGTCCACCACGATACACTGTGGACGGATAGACAGACAAACAGACAGATTTAATCAGAGGGCTCCCTCACATGTGTTAGGTCTAAGAGAGTATAATAATAGGGAAAAAACAATAAAATAAAATAAATTCTTGAGATAGTTTAATAAGACGTTGAGAGGGAGGAAGAAACGAGGAGAGAGGAGTGAGGGCCACGGAAGTTTTAGTGTCAGTGTCTTACCTGGCACCATTATCTGTCATGAACGTCTTTACCTCAGTGCAAAGTTATTATTACCACCACTTTTATTTTTTACCACAGACTTGAGACGCACTGGAGTTTGATTCTCAGGTGTTCAATAGTCCTCGAGCCTCTAGTTGTGTCACCTCACGTACATCCGAGGAGAACAAGAGGTCACGACCGATGGTGTGCAGCAAACATTCACCACAGGAACTTTTGATTTTTTCTTTCTTTATATACTGTAAGTAAATGTCTTCCAGTTGTTTTGATTTGCGGACGTGGCGACCACGACCCTCCCACACAGACGACTACGACCCTCCCACACCACCACACAGTTTACCATGACCCTCCCACACCACCACACAGACGACCATCCCACACCACACAGTCGACCATGACCCTCCCACACCACCACACAGGTGACCACGACCTTTTCACACTACCACACAGGCGACACGACCTTCCCACACCACCACACAGGCGACACGACCTTCCCACACCACCACATAGCAGACACGACCCTCCCAACCCGCGTGCTAAAGGTCGTTTTCCCTCGTCACCTCCAACACTATCCCGGGTGCACAGACGCGATACCAACCAAGACGAAAATACTATAAATCTCGGCAATGCTTCCATTAACAAATGAAATTGCTTGTGAAATCACTTGGACGACCAAACGGGAAATCCTTGCACAGTGTTCCCGTCTATTGGCAATATACATCACATTACCTGCTCTAATCACCATTAGTGTGTGTTATTACCTTAAGTAATTAGCCTGAGGTTAGCCTAGCCAGAGGGTCACCCTCGGGAACACTCGTCGAGGAGGAGGTGGGTGTTTGATATTCAAGATGGCCAACAAAGCCGTCGTTTTTGATAACGTTGGTCAGCTTAACTAGAGCTTTCCACGTGTTTTTGGCTGACCGAATGATAGATATATTTTCACTCTCGGGCAAACAAACAAACCCACACTAATGTATCTTTTACCTGTTACTGCTGCATATGTTAACCATCTTCATCATAAGATAAAAATAAATAAGTTTACAATACCAGAATCACTTCTCTTTCTTTACTATAGAATTATTGGTATAAATAAAATAAAAACCTTGTTGTTTTTGTTCTTCCCTTTAGGCAATCTCACTACCAAGGGTATTATGAAACATCAATCTGGGTCTGGTAACTTATATTAGATCACGGTGATGTGTTATTACTATTGACCAGTACGATACGTTCTTCCTCGCGTTGCCTGCCGTCGTCCCCTCCGCCACGTCTTCAGTGTACCTGACAAGATTATGAAAAGTGACCACAATTCTTGCTTTTCAGAAAATGACAGGAATTACACGCAGCCAAGAGCCATTTCAAGCCTTTAACCCAAGAGAAAGACAGACGAAGGAATAGGACACAGTAGTTAAGACGGATAATATTATTTAAAACTGTAATTTACTAACTGGAGGCATTGGTTTGGTTCCCAATTCTTAAAGTCATCGCTGAAGAACGTAAATACTTCCACCGCCGCCGCCAGACACTTCCGGAGCCAGCATGTAGTCCTGTCACCATCACCACAGGAAGACTGAGTAAGTCACATAGAACATGAGGTTTAGGGCGAAGGAACAGAGGAGGTCTTTGAGGTGAAACATGCACTTATAAAATGTACACTGAGAAGTACCTCGAATTCCGTCACCCAGACACGTGTTGTCGCTGGTATACATTATGACGAGGTGTATTTTATTAGGGAATTAACACAAAACAGACTAAAGACATAACTGGAAAGTAACAACAAATGAAAAAAAAAATTATTCAACTTTCACCCTGAATTATATACATATACAACAGCCCCCACAAGAAAATTTACAACCTAATATACAACCTCAAAGATAAATAATAATAATAAAACTTGTGGATATATTTAGATATATTATAAATATACTCCGTACAACATGTTCTCTGCTTTTCATATACAGTTTATTATTACTATTATTTTTGCATTTTTTAGAGATACCAGTAATTTATCTGGGCTGTAATTTCCCCTGACGTACTGTTATCTTAATAGGAATCATTTATCACGAAATAAAATTACACGTGTTTTTAATAGTTTACTTATGAACCTTGGGTAAATATACTTGTTTCTAATTTTCATAACAATATATTAAAAAATAAAAAAACTCGTGACAAAATTTAAATTCATATGACTATTAAGCGAAGAATCTGATAGTAAAATGTTATGAAATTAATAATAAAAAAAATCAAGAGTTGTGTGTGTGTGAAATTTACGTCTCCACAGGTGTCAAAAATCAATTAAACAGCTTGATAATTTTCATCAGGTAATCAAGAGAATGATAAAAACAAATTACGAACATATAGTTGCTTTCCCTTACAAAATTTCTGCTCAATCCTGCTAAAACTAAGGAACCCGGAACGTGAGGACAGATGAACAGACAGGTGTAGATCAACATGTCCCCCCACCCATACACAGAGGCATAAAAATCAAAAGGTAAGTCACACTATATAGTCCCCCCTCTCCCCCCCCCCCACCACCTCCCCCTCACACCCCTAATTGAGAAGGTTCATGCGGGGGGGGGGGAGAGGGAAGGTTACCTGTAGTCGTTGTGTTGTTAGTCTGTAAGCCTATACCATACGCACTAATAACTTCTGTTTGGTACCACACGCTCTAAAAAAGTATCTTTACGATTTTCTGTTAGACAATATGACACAACGGTCGGAGGATTTTGACAACCCTACTGAGACAACAGGAGTTAGTATTTATTCTGAAATTCATAGGAACTTCTCTAAATATACTATGTGGAGCAAGTATCACACCCAAGCTTCACCACTAATATTACTAGGCACATTAAATAAACTATATCACGTTTGGTCTCGGTCGGGGAGGGTGAGTCACTACACTGATGGTTTAAGTAAATATAAAATTAAAAAAGTAATAATATTTTTGTATACGTTTTACAAAAATTATGACGAAATACGCAGTTTTATTATTAGCAAAAGAAAAACTGAGGGATATTAAAGACTTTGGTGGATTCTATATGACGTCTAATAATTTTGCTAAAATTAACCTTTATACTGTATTATGCTACGTATATAACTAACATTAAAGAACAAAGAAAGTGATTGAAGAACGTTATAGGTGTTAATGTTGTTCTGTTTATAACTTTATTATCTTCATAAAAAGTATTCCCACGACCTTCAGTTAAACACATGGCAGGAATAATCAAAACATTTCAACAACTTGGGGTCTTAAGCGCGTTTTCGAGTCAACCAATGGGACAATCTGAAGCACTTTGGTCATATCTCCATAGGTAGCAAGGTCGGAAAATTGAATATATACAGGAATCACACACAAGATGAGGACGAACAAGAAGCTACAGACGAGCGGTGTGAGGGATCGGTCGGTCGGGGCAGCGACTACAATGAAACATGAACCAACAGAACATGGGCCCCAGGGTGGCTGAGCTTGAGGCCACAGTCACTGGGTCGTCCTCACGGGCTGCGCAGACTAACCCAAGCACCCGAGTATCTCCCCGCGGGTTCCACAAGCATATTATTAATATCTACAAGCAGGAGGAATTAAAAGTCTTAAAACAAACTTATGCTAATTGAGCTAAGGCGAATTTTGTCATTTTTTTCACAAAGTTTATTCTGGTTTAAGGCGTTAACTTGCGTTTGGTCAGGTAGTATTAAATATTAACTTTATTTCTTTAAAATTAATGGCCCTAACCACACTTAACGAATTCTAAAAACTAAGATTTAATAATTATCTATCTACACCTGTCAGGGCTGAGAACGAGAAGTTAATCCTGGAGAAATATTATGTATATCTACAGTACATGAATATAAAATATATATTAACCCCCGTGAGTGAAACTGCTTACCTCAGGAACTTGGTAAAGTCTTTTTATCCGGTTCATGAAATGGGATTCTAGCCTATCATGATATAACCTAACCTAACCTTAGTTACTTTAGGTTGGGTTGGGTTGGGTTGGGTTGGGTTGTCATACTTAATTGCATTAGATTTTTTTTGACGAACTGGGCTATTTTACAAACGATATATACGGTATATATCGCGTCCATTGGTGTCCGATCGTGAAACATAAGCAATATTAAGAGGCTAACCTAGACACTAACCACGACAGTGTCCCCCTTAACATTGAGTCTAACCTCAACACTTTTACAGCGACCATGTACTCCTCCTAACGTTGACCCTAAAGTCTACACTTCAACGCTGGCAAAGACATTAACCACAGCATCATAATTCTCCACATAACTTTAATCCTGACACACAAAAAAACACATAACTACACCGCAGTCGAAGATACTACCCACGACAGTGTGTCTCCCCCTTAACTTTGGCCCTTAAAACGACACTAACCACAACGCTAACGAGCAATAAATCACCCAATCCCACCACTAACCACCAGGTCCCTCCTCCCTACCCCCTCCCCCCTCCCCGCCATACAAACGACCTTATAAAAACATGTTAACAGCGACTGAATTCCGCAGCGGGAGAACTCAGGCTACTATCGGGTACCTCAGACTGCAAGTGGATAACCTCAGGCTGACACTCAACACCTCAGGCAATACTGGGTACTTAAGGGTGTTGCCGTATAATTCTGGCTACTACTGGATGATTGGGGGTTAAAACAGCATATTTCAGACTGATACCAGATACTTCAGGCGACCCCAGAGATACAAGAAGGGGATGCATGACGCGCCCACAACTACACTCTGTTATGTAGGATTGTAATATTCCTAAGAGGGACTTTCTCCACGTTCTACAGCCAATAAAGAGGTGATTCTGTAGACTGTACCTAACTTTGTCTCTAAACGTATCTCTAAAGACTGGTGAAGGTCGTTAAAAGGCAAATACATTAATGGAATCCGCGTCTACATGTCCTAATCTGACCGACGGACGGAGGCCAGAGAGACTGACGGAAGCCAAAGAGATAGACAGAGGCCACAGAGACTGACGGAGGCTAGAGAGAGGCTCCCTACCATAGGACTGGCCAAATCTCTCCGTCATTTTGGAGACGTTATGTATCTGTGGGAGTAATTAATCACGGCCGCGGAGGAACGTTCTGCCGCCCAGCATCTGCATATTATTTTAATTAGCTACATTATTGACCGAGTCTATCCTACGCTGTTCGACCAACTTACACCACCAACCTACCCATTCCACCTACCTAACCTTCCTCACTCACCTATCAACCCAGCTACACCACCTACCAAACCACACTCAACCCAACCCCATCCATCCCACCCACCTACTAATCCACTCCAAATCCATCTATCCCACTCACCAACCACCTAAAAGCAATCCCATCCTAACTAATCCACTTCCCCACTCACCTCACCCATTCATCCACTCATCCATCCCACACACACATCCGCCTCACACCTACACCTACAGTACACACTCATCCATTCACCCCACCAAATCACTCACCTTCCCACCCTCCTAAACCCACTTACCCGCTAGCCCACCCCATCCATCCATCCATCCCACCCAACAACTTACTCACCCCACTCACAGCACCCACCCATCACTCGCCACAACTTCCTTCCCTTTCCATCCCCTCTCCTCCCCCTTCGTCCCCTCTCCTCCCCCTTCCTTCCCTATCCTCCCCTTCGTCATTTCTCCTTCCTCCTCCCCCCTCCTCCCCCCCTCCCTCCCCCTCTCCTCCCCCCTCCTCCCCTTCCTACCTCTTCCCTCCCTCTCCTCTTCCTCCCCTCTCTCCTCCTCCCCTTCCTACCTCTCTCCTCCCTTCCTCCCTCCCCCTTCCTCCCCTCTCCTCCCCCTTCCTCCCCTCTCCTCCCACCAGCTGTCTCACTGATTGATAGAATTTGACACTCAGTCGAAAACCAGACAAAAACAAGTAATTAAGCATCTGCCTAACCTAACGAGATATGGTCCCCCCAATTAACAAACTTTAGAAGATTAGCCAGAGGATATTTTTAATTAATCTCATATTGATGGCAAAAATACTAATGAGGCTGTGCCAACGCCAACTTGCTAATTACCAGCGAGTTGGAGGGAGGAGGAGGAGGAAGAAGAAGAAGAAGACAAAGAAGAGAAGGAGAAAGAGGAAGACAAAATAGAAGATAGAGGAAGACAAGGAAAAGAAGAAGTGAACAGGAGTAAGACATGGAAGAAAAGGAGAAAGAGGAAGAGAAGTAAGAGAAGGAAGAAAAAGAATATGATGACCAAAGAAGTAAGAGGAAGAGGAGAGTAGGTGAGAATGAGAGGAAGAAATGAGAATAAGAGGGATGGAAGAAAGGTAAGTAATGATGAGTAGGAAGAAGAAAAATATAATAATGAGGAAGGGAAGGATTAAGGAAGAGGAGGAGGAATAAAAATGAGGAAGAAGAGGAGGTATAAAAGAGGAGGAGAAGAAGGAAACTGATCAGATGGAGAAGTTAGGCAGGAGTGACGGAGGAAGATGACGTGATAAGAGATGAAGAAGGAGGTGGAGAATAAGGAATGTGAAGGAAGGAGGCCAGGAGGAGGAGGAATGTGAAGGAAGGAGGCCAGGAGGAGGAGGAAGAGGAAGGAAGGAGACCAGAAGGAGAGAGAGAGAGAGAGAGAGAGAGAGAGATACTTGGAGAAAAATATTAAAAAATTAAAGAATGTAAACAAGGCGAAGTGGGTGAAGGAGAGGGGAGTAAGAAAGGGGAAGAGGGGAGGAGATTAGGGGAAAGAGGGGAAGACATGTGGGTGAGGAAGAGGGAGGAGGAGACGAGGGAGAGGAGAAGAGAGGAAGAGGACGAAAGGGAGACGATAAATTGCGTGGTGGTGTTGATGTTGGAGAGGATAGATGGTGGTGATGGACGATGATGAAAATAATATTGTTAGAGACGAAGAAGATGCTGGTGTGTGTGTGTGTGTGTGTGTGTGTGTGTGATGGAGAGACCAATTTGTTATGCTTGACTGTGGCGACCATTTCAAATAACAACGTCTGACCTTAATAAGTTATTTCCAGTTTATCAATAACCACAAACTGGTGACTGTGCTGTGATTGTATGAGTCGTCATGAACCACCCCTCTACCACCATCACAACCACCACCCCTCTACCACCATCACAACCACCACACCTCTAACACCACCATAACCACCCTTCTATCACTATAACCACCCCTCTACCACCTCCACCACAACCACCCCTCTACCACCACCACAACCACCCTCTACCACCAACCACCCACCACAACCACCCTCTACCACCACCACAACCACCTCTACCACCACCACAACCACCCCTCTACCACCACCACAACCAATTCTTCTACCACCACCACAACCACCCCTCTACCACCACCACCACCACCACAACCCCTCTACCACCACCACAACCACCCCTCTACCATTATCACCATCATCATCGACAGAGCCACCGCGATAAAATTCAAGGCTGATCCAACATTTGCCCATAATTTGTCATCGCCCATAAATTTAATCTCAGTTTAATCCCCCGTTGGCGTGTTGCACCATCACCAAAACAAACACGCCCACATTAGTTGATATTGAAATACCTCATTTGGGAACAATTTCCCTATAATGAACGAAATAAAAATAATAAACAAATAATTGTCACACGGAAATTAGTATATTTAAAAGATAATTATATCATAATAATGAGTCAAATCAATATTACGAATCTGAATATTCAAATACCATAAAATGATATTGTGTTAATGGTCGATTATTTCTAATTTCATTCCCATTTTTAACGAGTGAATTAAGAGCATTAGACCCTAAAAAACACCCATAGGCATCATTAACTCTGCTTGTTCAAAAAAAAAAAAAAAAAATTAAAAATAATATGTATGATAATAGTTAGAGAGAACGAATCTGTTAGAACATATCACATCCACCTGGTCTGGTGAAGTTGAATATCCATCAGGTCTTCCTTCCCTTCCCTCTACAGACCGTCAGCACGACATACGATAAACCTGCAGTCATCCCTTACTTCCTACAGTCCTCCGTAACAACACCTTCCCTTGCACAACTAACCTCTTCCCCTGACAAGCTTCATCTTAGATCTATTTCTCTTTCGTGTATCTCAAATATCTCACACAGGGGACAAATGTTTTTCTCTTCCAATATATATTCCACTTGTTCTTTCTTTTAATTATTCCATATAATTACAAGTTCCCGTATTAACACACATTCCCAGGTTTTGGTATTAATTATCACGGGCCAAACAGACACACATCCAGACACACAAGTCCTCAACAATGGGATCCGAACCCTCGTTACTCAGATAACAAGCGAGAGTACCACTAACTTGCTCAATGAAAGGCTAAAACTCACTTACCAATGACTTTTTGTTTTTTTTGCCATTGTTGGGACAGAAGATGATGGTAGCCGAGTTTTTTGTGTCAGTGATGGAAGATTTAAGTCTAAGCAACAGCACTAGAGTTGTTTGTAAAGCCAAGGTCAATTGTATCTTTAGCACCAACTACTTTTTGTCTCCCCAACATCACAATCTTTTACGACATACAGATAAGAACTACCACCACCACCCCCTCCTACCTCCCACCACCTCCTCCTTCCTCCCACCACCTCCTCCTGCCTCCCACCACCTCCTCCTGCCTCCCACCACCTCCTCCTGCCTCCCACCACCACCCTCCTACCTCCCACCACCTCCTCCTTCCTCCCACCACCTCCTCCTGCCTCCCACCACCTCCTCCTGTCTCCCACCACCTCCTCCTGCCTCCCACCACCTCCTCCTGCCTCCCACCACCTCCTCCTGCTCCCACCACCTCCTCCTGCCTCCCACCACCTCCTCCTGTCTCCCACCACCTCCACCTGCCTCCCCATTCTCCTCCTGCCTCCCACCATCGCCTCCCTGCCTCCCACCATCTCCTGTCTGCCTCCCACCACCTCCTCCTGCCTCCCACCACCTCCTCCCTGCTTCCCCACCACCTCCACCTGCCTCCCACCACCTCCTCCTGCTTCCCACCACCTCCTCCTGCCTCCCACCACGACCACAGTGGTTCCTCCAGAACAGTGCTCCCTCCAGAACAGTGTTCCCTCCAGAGCAGTGTCCCCTCCAGAACAGTGTTCCCTCCAGAACAGTGTTCCCTCCAGAACAGAGTTCCCCCCAAAACACTGTCCCATCTAGACCACGGCTCCTTGGGGCGCGGCTTCCCCTGGATAGGCCTCTGAAGGCACCACCAATCCTGAGAGGGCCCCTGGGTGTACCACCGCCCTTGGGAGGGCCCATGGGGGCTCCACCCTTGGGAGGGCACCGTAGGGGGGGGGGGCACCGTTTCTGAGAAGGCCCCTATCGGCGCCACCTCCCCTCGAAGGACCCTTGGGAAGGCCTTTGGAGGTGCCATCGTTCCTGGGAGAGCCCCTAGGGACGCCGAAGTGCCTGGGACGTCCCCTGGAGGCGCTGCTACCTTTAAGAGAGGCCCCTGGGGGCGCTGTCGCCCCTGGAATGGCCCCTGGGTTTGCCAAATTCCCTGGCAGTGCCCTAGAGGTCACCGCTACCCATAAGTAGGGCCTCTGAGGGCGCCGGTGCCCTTGGTGGGTCCCCGAGGAGCGCCGTCGCCACTGTGAAGATCCCTAGAGGCACCTCCGTATCTGGAAGGACCCCTGGATGCGCCCTCGCCCTTGGGAGGGCCCCTGAGTGCGCCGATGCACCTGGGAAAAACGTTGCCGGCGCTTCCGCATTTGGGAGGGCCCCTGGTGGCGCTACCGCCTTTGGCAGGGCCCCTGGGATCACCGCCACCCCTAAGGAGGGCCCCTGGAAGCGCTGCCGCCCTTGGAATGGCACACTAGGGGCGTCACCACTCCTGGGAGAGCCCCAAGGGGCGCCAACCTCCTTCCAGGACCCCTGGAGTCCCTGCCACCACTAAGGTGGATCCCTGGGGGCGCCGCTATCTCTGAGAGGGCCCCGGGGGCCCCACCGCCATTTAAAGGGTCCCTGGAACCAACACCGCTCCTGACAGGGCCCCTGGAGGCTCCGCTGGGAGAACCCTTAGCAGCGAAGCCGCCCCGGGAAGGGCCCTTACGGGCGCCACCACCCTTGGAAGGGCCCCGGGAGGCTCCTCCCTTGGATTACCCCGGAACCCTCTCAGGGGCGGCGAAGCCCCCAAGGGCCCTCCCAGAGGCAGCTGCGTCTCCAGGAACCATCCCACGAACAGCGGCTTCCACCAGGCACCCTCCCAGGAGCAGCCACGCACCCAGCGGCACTAGCGTCCCATAAATCCTCCCAGTGATGGCAGCGCCCCCGGGAAGCTCACATTCGCAGAGGCAGCCGTACCTCCAGGGACCCTCCCAGGGGCGGTTGAGCCCCCATTGACCCTCTCAGGGAAAGCGGCGCCCCCAGGGACTCTCCCATAGGCATCAGAGTCCCTAAAACCCTCTCAAGGACGACGGCATTGCCAGGAACCTTCCCAGGGCGGCGCCCCACCTTGGGACCCTACCAAGGGTCCCTGGGGGCCCTATGGCATGTTTGTTTGCTGTGTTATATATATTACATACTTCCAGAAGTCCCTTACTTAACTATGATTGGTGGACTATTCTTTTAACCCACCATATTACAGCCAATAGGTGAAGAGAGCAGTCAGTCAGCACAACACCCCAACTTATGTTTTCCTGTTGGATATTACTCTCCGTTACCTTCTTCAGAATGCGATGATACTGGAAATGTCTTGGGCGGTGTATTTATTTAACGTTGCTCCTCCCAGAGTTCTAAATAGAGCAAAAACTACTGCACCCAGGGGTCCTACAGATCTGATGCTCACAGGGACCCTCCCATGGGCAGCGGCGCCCCAAGGGACCCTCCCAGGAACGGCGGAGCATCCAGGGACCCTTCCAGGGTAGGCGGAGCCCCAGGAACCATCCCAGGGGCAGCCGCGCACCCAGGGATCCTTCGAGGTAGGTGGCTCCTCCAGGGACCCTCCTAGGGGCGTCGGCGCTCCAAAAAAAAAAAACTCTAGGAACAGCCTCGCCGCCAGGGACCCTCCCAGAAGCGGTGCCCCACCCTGGGACCTTACCATGGATCCCCAGGGTCTTATGGCATGCTTGTGTGTTGTGTCATATATATTTCAGACTTCCAGAAGTCCCTTACTTAACTATGATTGGTGGACTATACATTTAACCCACCACATTACAGCCAATAGGAGAAGAGAGCAGTCAGTCAGCACAACACCCCAACTTATGTTTTCCTGTTGGATATTACTCTCCGTTACCTTCGTCAGAATGCGATGATATTGGAAATGTCTTGGGCGGTGTATTTATTTAACGTCGCATCTCTTAGAGCTCTAAATAGGCAAAAACTACTGCACTCAGGGTGTCCTACAGGTGTGAGGCTCCCAGGAACCCTCCCAGGGACAGCGACTGCCCCCAAAGACCCTTCCAGGGACAGTGCGCCGGCAGGGAGTCTCCCAGAGGTGGTAGTGCCTTAAGGGACCCTCCTAGGGGTGGCGGCGTCCCCTGGGACCCTTCCAGGAGCAGCGGCGCCCCAAGAAACCTTCCCAGGAACGGCGGAGGATATAGGTACCCTCCCAGTAACAGTGGAGCCCCCAGGGATCATCCCAGGGGCAGCGTACCTCCAGGGACACTCCCTGCTGTGGAGCCTCCTAAGGACCTTCCCAGGGACAGTGCAGGCCCAGTGTCCATTGCAGGGGCAGCTTTACCTCCAGGGACCCTCCCAGGGACAGCGGTTGCCTTCAGGGACACTCCCATTGGCGACGGAGTCCCCGTGGACCCTCCCAGGGACAGCGGCGCCCACAGGGAATCTCCCAAGAGAGTCGGCGTCCCCTAAAAACCCCGCCAGGGACGGCAGCACTGCCAGGGATCCTCCCAGGGTCATTGTCGCCGCCAGAGACCCTCCAAGGGGCGGTGCCCCACCCTTGGACCCTACCAAGGGTCCACAGGGGCCCAATGGCATGCTTGTTTGTTGTGTCATGTATATTACATACTTCAGAAGTCCCTTACTTAACGATAATTAGTGGACTTATCTTTTAACCCACCATATTACAACCAATAAGAGACGCGAGAAGTTAGTCAGCACAACACCCCAACTTATGTTTTCCTGTTGGATATTACTCTCCGTTACCTTCTTCAGAATGCGATGACTGATACTGGAAATGTTATGAGCGGTGAATTTATTTAACGTTGCATATCCCAGAGTTCTAAATAGAGCAAAAACTACTGCACCCAGGGGTCCTACAGGTCTGATGATCCGAGGGACCCCCCCCAGTTACAGCTGCTGCCCCTATGGAGTCCGAGGGGCAGCGGCTGCCCCCAGATAGTCTCTTAGGGGCGGCAGTGACTCCAGGGACCTTCCTAGGGGTGGTAGTAACTTCAGGGACCCTTCTACAAGCGGAGGCGTCCCTTGGGAACCTCCTAGAAGCGGAGGCGTCCCTTGGGTACCTCCTAGAAGCGGAGGCGTCCACTGGGACCCTCCCAGGGGAAGACGGTGCCACCAGGGACCCTCCCAGGAACGGCGGAGCATCTTGGGCTCCTTCCAGGGGCGCCGGAGCCCCCGGGGACCATCCCAGGGGCAGCCGTACCTCCGGGGACCCTCGCAGGGACAGCGGCTGCCCCCAGGGATCCTCTCAGAGGCGGTAGAGCCCCAAGGACCCTCTTAGGGGCAGCCGCGCTCACAGGGACCATCCCTGGGACAGCGGCTGTCTTCAAGGACCCTCCAAGTGGCACCGGCACGCCCAGGGATAATCCCAGCGGTGGCTGAGCCTCCAAGGACCCTCCCAGGGGCAAGCTCCACATCAAAAAGAGCTTCCTTCATGCACTCAACGCCGGTTCCCAATCAGCCAAATGGTACCTGGCGGCCACAAAAGGGGAACCACCTTTCGCTGACAAGAAAACTCCAAGACAAACCCAAGTCAGCCTTCATCGACTACGACTAGGGTACAAGTGCTCCTGGCAGATGATCGGAAATGACGTCATGGAATGCACCTACTGTCAGGAGCCAGCAGCCAACCCACTTGAACACTATCTCCTCGACTGCGAGGTCACACAAAGCCTCCGAAACAGAACTCAAATCTCCCAAGAAACACACACAACACCAGCGGCCACTCTAACCCGAAAGGCCCATACAGACCACATTCACCACCTACTCCGGGTCATCACACGATACCCACCACCCAGATAGCTTAGAAAGCATCCTCTCCCAGCAAGTGCGGACCCCAGTTCGGGGGCGCGCCACTCCGAAACTGACCACGTCCAAGAGTGGGGGTTGGTGGTAAGCGTCCACTGATCGGGGTCCGCTCACACTTGCAACCTGCAGTATCCCTCCAATCTGCAGGTGGGACCACCTCCAATCCCAATCCGGTCTGGCTGCTCCTGGAGCTCCAGCCGGAACCACCAAACGGGCCGCCTATAGGCAAAGGCCCGTGTCGGACTACGGTCCGACAATCTCAACAACAACAACACAACAACAACAAGTCCCTTACTTAAATATGATTGGTGGACTATTCTTTTAACCCACCATATTACAGCCAATAGGAGGAGAGAGCAGTCAGTCAGCACTTCACCCCAGCTTATGATTTCCTGTTGGATATTACTCTCCGTTACCTTCTTCAGAATGCAATGATACTGGAAATGTTATGGGCGGTGTATTTGTTTAACATCACATCTCCTAGAGTTCTAAATAGAGCAAAAACTACTGTACCCAGGGGTCCTACAGGTCTGACGCTCCCAGAGACCCTCCCAAGGACAGCGGCTACACCCAGGGACGCTCCCAGGAACAGCGGCGCCCACTGGGGGTCTCCAAGTGGCGGCAGTGCCTCCAGGGACCCTCCTAGGGATGGCGGCGTCACCTGGGACCCTCCCAGAGACAGCGATGCCCCCAGGGACCCTCCCAGGAACGGTAGAGGATCGAGGGACCCTCCCAGGTTCGACGGACCCCCAGGAACAAACTCGGGGGCAACCGTAACCTCCATGATCCTTCCCAGGGACAACGACTGACCCCAGAGACCCTCGCAAGGGTGGCGGAGCCCTTAAGGGAATCTTCCAGAGACAGCCGCATCCCCAGGGACCGTCCAACGGACAGCTGATTCCCCCAGGGATCCTCCCAAAGGCAGCTGCGCGCACTCAGGGACCCTCCCAAAGACAGCAGATTCCTCCAGGGGCACCGGCGCCCCCAGGGACCCTCCCACTAGCGGCAGCGCCGCCGGTAATCCGCCCAGATACGGCGGCGCCTTCAGGGACCTTCCCAGGGGCAAAGGAGCCCAGAGGACCCTCCCAGGGGCAGCTCAGGCCTCAGGGATCATTGCAAGGGCAGCCGTACCTCCATGGACCCTCCCACGGACAGCGGAGCCACCAGGGAATCTCCCAGGGGCGTCGGTCGCCCCCAAACCCCCCCAGTGACGATGTCACCTTCAGGGACCCACACAGGGACGTCGGCGCCGCTAGGGACACTTCCTGGGGCGGCGCCCCACCCTCGGACCCTACCAAGGGTCTCCAGGGGCCCTGTGACATGCTTGTTTGTTGTGTCATATATATTACATACTTCCAGAAGTCCCTTGCTTAACTATGATTGGTGGACTATTCTTTTAACCCACCATATTACAGCCAATAGGAGAAGAACGCAGTCAGTCAGCTCAACACCCCAACTTATGTTTTCCTGTTGGATATTACTCTCCGTTACTTTTTTATAATGCGATGATACTGAAAATATCTTGGGCGATGTATTTATTTAACGTTGCAACTCCCAGAGTTCTAAATAGAGCAAAAACTACTTCACTCAGGGGTCCTACAGGTCTGACGCTCCCAGGGCCCCTCCCAGGGAGAGCTGCTGACCCCAGGGACTCTCCGAGGGACAGCGGCTGTCCCCAGGTAGTCTCCCAGGTGCAGCAGTGACTCCAGGGACCCTCTTAGAGGCGGCAGTCACTCCAGGGACGCTCCTAGAAGTTGCAGCATCTCCTGGGACCCTCCCAGGGGCAGACAGCGCCCCCAGGAACCCTCCCAGTACCGGGGAAGTATCCACAGACCCTCCCAGGGGCGACGGAGCACCCAGGGACTATCCCTGGGGCAGCCACGCACCCAGGGACCTTCCCAGGGATAGCAGCTGTCTCCAGGGACTCTCCCAGTGGCAACGGTGCTCACAGAGACCCTCTCAGGTGTGGCAGAGCCCCCAAGAACCCTCCCAAGGGCGGTGCAGCCCCCAGGGACTATTGCAGTGGTGGAAGCGCCCAGGAACCATCGAAGGATAGCTGTACCTTCAGAAACCCTACCAGGGACAGTGAATGTCTCCAGGGACCTTTCCAGGGACGGCGGAAACCCAGGGACCCTCCCAGAGGCAGCAGCGCATTCGGGGAGCCATCCAGGTGAAGATAGCACCTCCAGAGCCCCTGCCAGTAACGAGAAAGCATCCAGGGACACTCGCAGGGGCGTCGAAGCGCCCAAGAACCATCCCAGGGGCAGCCGTACCTCCAGCAATCCTCCCAAGGACAGCGGCTGCTCCCAGGGACCCTATCTGAAGCGTTAGAGTCCCCAAGGACCATCCCAGACGCAGCTGCGTCCCCAGGGACCCTCCCAGGGACAGGGGCTTCCCCAGAGACCCCCTCAGAGGCAGCTGCACACCCAGGGAGCTTCCCAGAGACAGCGCCTGTCTCTAGAGACCCTTCCAGAGGCAGACAGCGCCCTCGGGACCCTCCCAGGAACGGCGGAGCATCCAGTTACCCTCCCAGGGACAACAGCGCCCCAGGGACTCTCTTATATGCGACAGCGTCTCCAGGGAAGTTCCCAGGGGCAGATGCGCACCCAGGAACCCTCCAAGGGACACCGGTGTCACCCGGGAGTCTCCTGGGGGCGTCGGCGCCCCTCCCTCCTTCCCTCAGGGACGTCGGCGCCGGCAGGGACCCTCGCAGGGGCAGCGCCCCACCCTGAGAACCTACCAAGGGTCCCCAGGGGTCCTGTTGCATGTTTGTTTGTTGTGTCATATATATTAAATACTTCCAGAAGTCCCTTACTTAATTATGATTGGTGGACTATTCTTTTAACCCACCATATTACAGCCAATAGGAGAAGAGAGCAATCAGTTAGCACAACACCCTAACTTATGTTTTGCTGTTGGATATTACTCTCCGTTACCTTCTTCAGAATGCGATGATACTGGAAATGTCTTGGGCGGTGTATTTACTTAACGTTGCATCTCCCAGAGCTCTAAATACGACAAAAACTACTGCTCAAAGGGATCCTACAGGACTGACGCTCTTAGGGACACTTCCAGAGACAGCTGCTGCCCGCAGGGACTCTCCCAGGGACAGAGGCGCCCGCAAGGAGTCTCCCCGGGGCGGCAGTGACTCCAGGGACCCTTCCAGAGGCAGCCATGCACCCAGGGTCCCTCCCAGGACAGCAGCGCCCCAAAGACTCTCTGGGGGCAACAGTACCTTTAGGGACCCTCCCAGGGGCACCCGCGCACCCAGGAACCCTCCCAGGAGCACTGGATCCCCCAGAGACTCTAATAGGGGCGGCAGTGACTCCAGGGACCCTCCTAGGGGCGCCTGCGTCCCATGGGACCTTCCAGGAGAAGCAGCGCCACCAGGCACCCCCCCTAAGAAAGGCGGAGGATCAAGGGACCTTCCCAGGGGTAACGGAGCCCCCAGGAAACATCCCAGGGGCAGCCATACCTTCAGAGGCCCTCCTAGGGACAGCAGATGCCCCCAGGGACCCTCCCACCAAAGTCGGGTGAGCCTTCAAGGACCCTCCCAGAAGCAGCCGCGTCCCCAGGAACCCTCTCAGGGTAGGGGCTTCCCCCAGGGACCAGCTCAGGGACAGCCGGGCATCCAGAGAGCTTTCAAGGGACAGCAGCTGCCTCGAGGGACCCTCCCTCTGCCCAAAACACCTCCCAGGGGCGGTGGACCCCCAAAGACTTTCCCAGGAGCAGTGAACCCACCAGGGAACATCGCAGGGGCAGCCGTACCAGCAGGGACCCTACCAGGGAAAGTGACTGTCCCCAAGGACCCTCCCAATGGAGGCTTAGGATCCAGGGACCCCCCTAGGAGCGACGAAGCCCCCAGGGATCATCAGAGGGGCAATCGTATCTCCAGGTGCCCTCCCAGTGGCAGCTGCACCCCAAGGGACCCTCCCAGGAACGGAGGAGTATACAGCGACCCTCCCAGAAGCGGTGCGCCACCCTGGGACCTTACCATGGGTCCCCAGGGCCCTATGGCATGCTTGTTTGTTGTGTCATATATATTAAATACTTCCAGAAGTCCGTTACTTAACTATGATTGGTGGACTATTCTTTTAACCCACCATATTACAGCCAATAGGAGACGAGCGCAATCAGTCAGCACAGCACCACAACTTATGTTTTCCTGTTGGATATTACTCTCCGTTACCTTCTTCAGAATGCGATGATACTAGAATTGTCTTGGGCGGTGTATTTATTTATTTAACGTTGCATCTCACAGAGTTCTAAATAGGACAAAAACTACTGCTCACAGGGATCCTACAGGACTGACGCTCTCAGGGACACATCAAGAGACAGCTGCTGCCCCCAGGACTCTCCCAGAGACAGTGGCGCCCGCAAGGAGTTTCCCCTGGGCGGGAGTGACTCCAGGGACCCTTCCAGGGGCAGCCATGCACCCAGGGTCCCTCCCAGGGACACTGGTGCCCCCAAATACTCTCCCAGGCGCTGCAGCGCACCTAGGGACCTTTTCAGGGGCAGTTGCTGTCTTGATGGACCATCCCAGAGGCACCGGCGCCCCCAGGGATCCTCTCAGGGGTGTCGGAGCTCCCAAGGACCATACCAGGAGCGGCGGAACCTCCAGGGACCCTCCCAGGGACAGCAGCTACCCCAGAGACTCTCCTAGGGGCGACAGTTCCTCCAGGGACCCTCCCAGGGTCAGCCGCGCACCCAGGGACCCTCCCAATTACACTGGAGCACCCAGGAATTCTCCTAGAAGCGACAGTGACTCCAGGGACCCTCCTAGGGGCGCCTGCGTGTCATGGGACCTTCCAGGAACAGCGGTGCCCCCAGGCTCCCACCCCCACCCCCTAAGAAACGTGGGGATCCAGGGACCCTCCCAGGGGTAATGAATCCCCCACGGACCATCCCAGGGGCAGCCGTACCTGCAGAGATTCTTCCAGGGACAGCAGCTGCCCCCAGGGACCCTCTCAGAGTCGAGTGAGCCCCCAAGGACCCTCCCAGAAGCAGCCGCTCCCCAGAAACCCTCTCAGGGTAGGGGCTTCCCCGAGGGATCGTCTCAGGGACAGCCGGGCATCCAGGGAGCTTTCAAGGGACAGTAGCTGCCTCGAGGGACAGTCCCTCTGCCTCAAAGGCCCCTCCCAGGGGCGGAGGATCCCCAAGGGCCTTACCAGATGCAGCGGGGCCCCCAGGGACCATCTCAGAGGCAGCCGTACCTGCAGGGACCCTACCAGGGACAGTGACTGTCCCCAACGACCCTCCCAAGGGAGGCGGAGGATCCAGGGCCCCCTCTAGGAGCGACGAAGCCCCCAGATACCATCCCAGGAGCAGTCGTACCTCCAGGTGCCCTCTCAGTGGCAGCTGCACCCCAAGGGACCCTCCCAGGAAAGGAGGAGTATCCAGGGACCCTCCCAGAAGCGGTGCCCCACCCTGGGACCTTACCATGGGTCCCCAGGGCCCTATGGCATGCTTGTGTGTTGTGTCGTATATATTATATACTTCCAGAAGTCCCTTACTTAACTATGATTGGTGGCCTATTCTCTTAACCCACCATATTACAGCTAATAGGAGAAGAGAGCAATCAGTCAGCACAACACCCCAACTTATGTTTTGCTGTTGGATAATACTCTCCGTTACCTTCTTGAGAATGCGATGATACTGGAAATGTCTTGGGCGGTGTATTTATTTAACGTCGCATCTCCCAGAGCTCTAAATACGACAAAAATTACTGCTCCAAGGGATCCTACAGGACTGACGCTCTTAGGGACACTTCCAGAGACACCTGCTGCCCGCACGGACTCTCCCAGGGACAGCGGGGCCCGCAAGGAGTGTACCCAGGGTGGGAGTGACTCCAGGGCCCCTTTCAGGGGGAGCCATGCACTCAGGTTCCCTCCCAGGGGCACTAGTGCTCCCAGAGACGCTCCCAGGTGCAGCAGCTCACCCAGGGTCCTTTCCAGGGAGAGCAGCTGTCTTGATGGACCATCCCAGAGGCACCGGCGCACCCAGGGATCCTCCCAGGGGTGTCGGAGCTCCCAAGGATCATACCAGGGCGGCGGAGCCTCCAGGGACCCTCCCAGGGACAGCAGCGCCCCCAGAGACTCTCCTAGGGACGACAGTGCCTCTAGGGACGCGCTCAGGGACAGCCGGGCATCTAGGGACCCTCCTAGGGACACTGGTGTCCCTAGGGACTCTCCTTGGGGCGGCAGTGACTCCAGGGACAATCCTAGGTTCGCCTGCGTCCCATGGGACCATCCAGGAGCAGCGGTGCCCCAGGCACCGTCCCCCCAAGAAAGCCGGAGGATCCACGGACCTTGCCAGGGGTAACGGAGCCCCCAGGAAACATCCCTGGGGCAGCCGTACCTCCAGAGACCCTCCCAGGGACAGCAGATGTCCCCAGGGACCCTCTCAAAGTCGGGTGAGCCCCCAAGGACCCTCTCAGAAGCAGCCGCTTCCCCAGGAACCCTCTCAGGGTAGGGGCTTCCCCAAGGGACCCGCTCAGGGACAACCGGGCATTCAGGGAGCTTTCAAGGGACAGCAGCTGCCTCGAGGGACCCTCCCTCTGCCTCAAGAAACCTCCCAGGGGCGTCGGACCCCCAAGGACCTTCCCAGGAGCAGCGAAGTCACCAGGGACCATCGCAGAGGCAGCCGTACCTCCAGGAACCCTACCAGGGACAGTGACTGTCCCCAAGGACCCTCCTAAGGGAGGCTTAGGATCCAGGGACCCCCCTAGGAGCGACGAAGGCCCCAGGGATCATCAGAGGGGCAATCGTATCTCCAGGTGCCCTCCCAGTGGCAGCTGCACCCCAAGGGACCCTCCCAGGAACGGAGGAGTATACAGCGACCCTCCCAGAAGCGGTGCGCCACCCTGGGACCTTACCATGGGTCCCCAGGGGTCCTGTTGCATGCTTGTTTGTTGTGTCATATATATTTCATAGTTCCAGAAGTCCCTTACTTAACTATGATTGGTGGACTATTCTTTTAACCCACCATATTACAGCCAATAGGAGACGAGCGCAATCAGTCAGCACAGCACCCCAACTTATGTTTTCCTGTTGGATAATACTCTCCGTTACCTTCTTCAGAATGCGATGATACTTTAAATGTCTTGGGCGGTGTATTTATTTAACATGTATCTCCCAGCGTTCTAAATAGGACAAAAACTACTGTTCCCAGGGATCCTACAGGACTTACGCTCTTAGTGACACTTCCAGAGACAGCTGGTGCCCCCAGGACTCTCTCAGAGACAGCGGCGCCCGCAAGGTGTTTCCCCGGGGCGGGAGTAACTCCAGGGACCCTTCCTGGGGCAGCCATGCACCCAGGGTCCCTCCCAGGGACACTGGTGCCTCCAAAGCCTCTCCCAGGAGCAGCAGCGCAGCCAAGGACCTTTCCAGGGACAGCAGCTGTCTTGATGTACCATCCCAGGGATCCTTCCAGGGGTGTCGGAGCTCCCAACGACCATACCAGGAGCGGCGGAGCTTCTAGGGAACCTCCTAGGGACATCGGCGACACCAGAGACTCTCCTAGGGGCGACAGTGCCTCCAAGAATCCTCCCAGGGACACTGGTGCCCCCAGAAACTCTCCTAGGGGCGGCAGTGACTCCAGGGACCCTCCTAGGAGCACCTGCCTCCCATGGGACCTTCCAGGAACAGCGGTGCCCCCAGGCTCCCACCCCCACAGAAACGTGGGGATCCAGGGACCCTCCCAGGGGTAATGAATCCCCCACGGACCATCCCAGGGGCAGCCGTACCTGTAGAGATCCTTCCAGGGACAGCAGCTGACCCCAGGAACCCTCCCAGAGTCGAGTGAGCCCCCAAGGACCCTCCCAGAAGCAGCCGCTCCCCAGGGATCCTCTCAGGGACAGCCGGGCATCCAGGGAGCTTTCAAGGTACAGTAGCTGCCTCGAGGGACAGTCCCTCTGCCTCAAAGGCCCCTCCCAGGGGCGGAGGATCCCCAAGGACCTTACCAGAAGCAGGGGGACCCCCAGGGACCATCTCAGAGGCAGCCGTACCTGCAGGGACCCTACCAGGGACAGTGACTGTCCCCAAGGACCCTCCTAAGGGAGATGGAGGATCCAGGGACCCCCCTAGGAGCGACGAAGCCCCCAGGTACCATCCCAGGGGCAGTCGTACCTCCAGGTGCCCTCCCAGTGGCAGCTGCACCCCAAGGGACCCTTCCAGGAACGGAGGAGTATCCAGGGACCCTCCCAGAAGCGGCGCCCCACCCTCGGACCCTACCAAGGGTCTCCAGGGGCCCTGTGACATGCTTGTTTGTTGTGTCATATATATTTCATACTTCCAGAAGTTCCTTACTTAACTATGATTGGTGGACTATTCTTTTAACCCACCATATTACAGCCAATAGGAGAAGAGAGCAGTCAGTCAGCACAACACCCCAACTTATGTTTTCCTGTTGGACATTACTCTCCGTTACCTTCTTCAGAATGCAATGATACTGGAAATGTCTTGGGCGGTGTATTTATTTAACGTCGCATCTCCTAGAGCTCTAAATAGGAAAAAACTACTGCTCAAAGGGATCCTACAGGACTGACGCTCTTAGGGACTCTTCCAGAGACATATGATTTTTTATTTTGCCGCTTACGGCGGCTACTTTATTGTGCACCCCACACTCATCCTGTGAGCGGTAGCGCAAAAGGATTACAGAGTAGGTTTTACAAAGGGTCATAATAATTAACCCCTGTTGTCAGGATATTATGGCACTGAAAGTTACACAGTATTTCATTTACATTATTTGTTTAGTTCTATACATAAAGGGTAACTTATTCACAAATGCGTGAGTACAGGCGTGTGAGGCAGTATGTCTGGCCTCACACTTTGTTATTCACCTTTATGTGAGAGGTATTCAAGCACTGTGTATTTGGTTCTGTACATGAGAATTGATATAGTTACTAAGTGCAAAAAAAGTGGATACAATCTTAATATGTCGGCTATCTTGCCATTAAGATGAAGTGTTGTGCCATTTCACACACAGTGTGCTTGGACCTGACCCTAAAAGGTTCTATCTTCACACAGTCGAGGACGTAGTGTTCAAGTGTGTGGCCATATGTATGGCCACACACTTTACATTTAGTTTTGTTTACATCTGCTTGAGGAACATACTGCCAAAGGTACTTATATCCTAACCTTAATCTAGCGGTTACAACATTTTGTAATCTAGTGAACTTGTTACTTGCTCCATATACATGTTTCACTTGATACATCTCATCATGGTATCCTATGGATCGACTAGTGCCTGTTTGCACTAGTCTACTTGCGTCAAACTCATCAATAAGTTCTTTCCTAATTACACTTTTAAGGGTTCTTTTTGACAGACCCAAATTGTATTCAACGGTGTCTTTGTTAGACGCAAGTTTGGCGAGGGCATCAACTCTGTCATGTTTTATGAGGCCTATGCGAGAGGGGATCCACAACAGTTTGACCCTGACACCCCGGTCAACAAGGCACGCATATTTGTGTCTGGCTTCAGAGACAAGAGCGTGACAACCTGAGTCGAGGGTGCCAAGGGCAAGTAGTGAGGATAGAGAGTCAGCGGCGCCCGCAAGGAGTTTCCCCTGGGCGGGAGTGACTCCAGGGACACTTCCAGGGGCAGCCATGCACCCAGTGTCCCTCCCAAGGACACTGGTTCCTCCAAAGACTCTCCATGGCGCAGCAGCGCACCCAGGGACCTTTACAGGGACAGCAGCTGTCTTGATGGACCATCCCAGAGGCACTGGCGCCCCAAGGGATCCTCCCAGGGGTGTCGGAGCTCCCAAGGACCAGTACCGGGAGCGTCAGAGCCTCCAGGGACCCTCCCAGGGACAGCCGCGCACCCAGGGAACATCCCAGGGACCCTGGTGTCCCCAGGGACTCTCCTGGGGGCGGCAGTGACTCCAGGGACCCTCCTAGGTGCGCCTGCGTCCCATGGGACCATCCAGGAGCAGCGACGCCCCCAGGCACCCCCCCCCCTAAGATAGGCGGAGGATCCAGGGACCATCCCAGGTCGGCCGTACCTCCAGAGACTATTCCAGGGACAGCAGCTGCCCCCAGGGACCCTCCTAGAGTCGGGTGGTGAGCCCCCAAGGACCCTCCAAGAAGCAGCCGCGTCCCGAGGAACCCTCTCAGGGTAGGGTTTCCCCGAGGGACCTTCTCAGGGACAGCCGGGCATCCAGGGAGCTTTCAAGGGACAGTAGCTGCCTCGAGGGACAGTCCCTCTGCCTCAACGGCCTCTCCCAGGGGCGGAGGATCCCGAAGGCACTTCCCAGAGGCAGCGGAGCCCCCAGGGACCATCGCAGGGGCAGCCGTACCTGCAGGGACCCTACCAGGGACATTGACTGTCCCCAAGGACCCTCCCAAAGGAGGCGGAGGATCCAGGGACCCCCTAGGAGCGACGAAGCCCCCAGGTACCATCCCAGGGGCAGTCGTACCTCTAGGTGCCCTCCCAGTGGCAGCTGCACCCCAAGGGACCCTCCCAGGAATGGAGGAGTATCCAGGGACCCTCCCAGAAGTAGTGACCCACCCTGTGACCTTACCATGGGTCCCCAGGGCCCTATGGCATGCATTTGTGTTGTGTCGTATATATTTTATACTTCCAGAAGTCCCTTACTTAACAATGATTGGTGGGCTATTCCTTTAACCCACCATATTACAGCCAATAGGAGAAGAGAACAGTCAGTCAGCACAACACCCCATCTTATGTTTTCCTGTTGGATATTACTCTCCGTTACCTTCTTCAGAATGCGATGATACTAGAATTGTCTTGGGCGGTGTATTTATTTAACGTCGCATCTCCCAGAGCTCTAAATACGACAAAAACAAATGCTCTAAAGGATCCTACAGGACTAACGCTCTTAGGAACACTTCCAGAGACAGCTGCTGCCCCCAGGATTCTTCCATTGACAGCGGCGCCCTCAAGGAATTTCCCCGGGGCGGGAGTGACTCCAGGGACCTTTCCAGGGGCAGCCAAGCACCCAGGGTCCCTTCCGAGACACTGGTGCCCCCAGAGACTCTCCCAGGCGTAGCAGCGCACCCAGGGACCTTTCCGGGGATAGCAGCTGTCTTGATGGACCATCTCAGAGGCACAGCCGCCCCCAGGGATCCTCCCAGGGGTGTCGGAGCTCCCAAGGACCATACCAGGGGCGGCGTAGCCTCCAGGGAACCTCCCAGGGACAGCAGCGCCCCCTAGAGACTCTCCTAGGGGCGACAGTGCCTCCAGGGACCCTCCAAGGGGCGCCCGCTTCCCATGGGACCTTCCAGGAGCAGCGGCACCCCCAGGCACCTCCCCCCTCCCCCCCACTCCAAGGAAGGCGGAGGATCCAGGGACCTCCCCAAGGGTAACGGAGCCCCCAGGAAACATCCCAGGGTCAGCCATACCTCCAGAGACCATCCCAGCAACAGCAGATGCCCCCAGGGACCCTCTCGGGGTAAGGGCTTCCCCCAGGGACCCGCTAAGGGACAGTCGGGCATCCAGGGAGCTTTTAAAGGACAGCGGCTGCCTCAATGGACCCTCTTCTGCCTCAAGAAATCTCCCAGGAGCTGCGGAACCCCAAGGACCTTCCTAGAAGCAGCGGAGACCCCAGGGACCATTGCAGGGGCAGCCGTACCTCCAGGGATCCTACCAGGGACAGTGATTGTCCCTAAGGATCCAACCAAGGGCGGCGGAGGATCCAGGGCCCCCCATAGGAGCGATGAAGCCCCCAGGGACCAACCCAGGGGCATTTGTACCTCCAGGTGCCCTCTCAGTGGCAGCTGCACCCCAAGGGACCCTCCCAGGAATGGAGGAGTATCCAGGGACCCTCCCAGAAGCGGCGCCCCACCCTGGGACCTTACAATGCGTCCCTCGGCCCCTATGGCATTCTTGTTTGTTGTGTCATATATATTAAATACTTCCAGAAGTCCCTTACTTAACTATGATTGGTGGACTATTCTTTTAACCCAACATATTTACAGCCAATAGGAGAAGAGAACAGTCAGTCAGCACAACACCCCAACTTATGTTTTCCTGTTGGATATTACTCTCCGTTACCTTCTTCAGAATGCGATGACACTGGAAATGTCTTGAGCGGTGTATTTATTTAACGTTGCTCCTCCCAGAGTTCTAAATAGGACAAAAACTACTGCTCAAAGGGATCGTACAGGACTGACGCTCTTAGGGACACTTTCAGAGACAGCTGCTGCCCCCAGGACTCTCCCAGGGACAGCGGCGCCCGCTAGGAGTTTTCCTGGGGCGGGAGTGACTTCAGGTCCCTTCCAGGGGCACCCATGCACCCAGGGTCCCTCCCAGGGACCCTGGTGCCCCCAGAGAATCTCCCAGGCGCAGAAGCGCACCCAGGGGCCTTTCCAGGGAGAGCAGCTGTCTTCATGGACCATGCTAGAGGTACCGGCACCTTCAGGGTTCCTCCCCGGAGGATCGGAGCTCCCAAGGACCATACCAGGGGCGGCAGAGCCTCCAGGGACCGTCCTAGGGACAGCAGCGACCCCAGAGACTTTCCTAGGGGCGACAGTGCGTCCAGTGACCCTCCCAAGGGCAACCACGCACCCAGGAACCCTCTCGGGGACACTGGTGCCCCCAGGGACTCTCCTAGGGGCGGCAGTGACTCCAGGGACCCTCCTAGCGGCACCTGCGTCCCATGGGACCATCCAGGAGCAGCGGCGCCCCCAGGAACCATCCCCCCAAGAAAGGTGGAGGATCCAGGTACCTCTCCCAGGGGTAACGGAGCCCCCAGGGACCATCCAAGGGGCAGCCTTGCCTCCAGGGACCCTCCCAGGGACAGCAGCTGCCCAAGGAACCCTTCCATAGTCTGGTGAGCCCCAAAGGGCCCTCCCAGAATCAGACGCGTCCCTAGGAACCCTCTCTGGGTAGGGGTTTTCCCAAGGGACCCGCTTAGGGACAGCCGGGCATCCAGGGAGCCTTAAAGGGACAGCAGCAGCAGCCTCGAGGGACCCTCCCTCTGCTTCAAGGGACCCTCTCAGGGGCGGCGGACCCCCAATGACCTTCCCAGGAGCAGCTGAGCCCCAGGGTTCATCGCAGGGGCAGCCGAATCTCCAGGGACCCGACCAGGGACAGAGACTGTCCCCAAGGACCCTCCCAAGGGTGGCGGAGGATCCAGGGCCCCCCATAGGAGCGACGAAACCCCCAGGGACCATCCGAGGGGCAGTCGTACCTCCAGGTGCCCTCCCAGTGGCAGCTGCACCCCAAGGGACCCTCCCAGGAGCGGAGGAGTATCCAGGGACCCTCCCAGAAGCGGTGCCCCACCCTGGGACGTTACCATGGGTCCCCAGGGCCCTATGACATGCTTGTTTGTTGTGTCATATATATTACATACTTCCAGGAGTCCCTTACTTACCTATGAATGGTGGACTAGTCGCTTAACTCACCATATTACAGCCAATAGGAGAAGAGAGCAGTCAGTCAGCACAACACCCCAACTTATGATTTCCTGTTGGACATTACTCTCCGACACCTTCTTCAGAATGCAATGATACTGGAAATGTCTTGGGCGGTGTATTTATTTAACGTTACATCTCCCAGATTTCTAAATAGAGCAAAAACTACGTCACCCAGCGGTCCTACATGTCTGACGGTCCTAGTAATGCACCCAGGGACTGTGGCAGTCTCCAGGGTCCCTCCCAGGGACAGCAGTGCCCCCAGGGACTCTCTCAGGAGCGGCAGTGCTTCCAGGGACCCTCCCTGAGGCAGCAGCGTCTCCAGGGACCCTCCCAGGGACAGTGCTTCTCCCAGGTACCTTCTCAGGGACAGCAGCGCACCCAGGGCCCTTCTCATGGACAGCGGGTGTCTCGAGTGACCTTCCCAGAGGCACCGGTGCCCCCTGGGACCTTCACAGGGGAGGCGGAGCACCCTGGGACCTCCCAGGAACAGCAGCGCCCCCAGGGACTCTCCCAGTGGCGGCAGTGCCTCGAGGGACCCTCGCAGAGGCAGTCGCGTCCCGAGAGACCCCCAGTGACAGGGGCTTCCCCCAGGGACTCTCTTAGGGGATATTGAGCATCAGGGGACCTTCCCAGGGACAGCGGTTGTATCGAGGGACCCTCCCAGAGGCAGCGGCGCCCCCAGGGACCTTCCCAAGGGCTGTGGAGCCCCCAAGGACCCTCCAAGGGGCAGTGCTTGTCCAGGGTCCATCGCTGTGGCAGCCTTACATCCAGGGACTCTCCCAGGAAAAGCGGATGCCCTCAGGAACCCTCCCAGGGGCGATGGAGCCCCCATGGAACCTCCTAAGGACAGCAGCGCCCCCAGGGACCCTACCAAGGGTCCCCAGGGGGCCCTATGGCATGCTTGTTTGTTGTCTCATATATATTATATACCTCCAGAAGTCCCTTACTCAAGTATGGTTGGTGGCCTATTCTTTTAACCCACCACTTTACAGCCAATAGGAGATGAGAGCAGTCAATCAGCACATCACCCCAACTTATGATTTCCTGCTGTAATTATTTAACGTAGCCATCTCCGAGAGTTTTAAATAGAGCAAAAACTACTGCACCCAGGGGTCATAGAGTATCCAACAGGAAATCATAAGTTAGGGTGTTGTCCCCTGTGAGGGTCCCAAGGGACGTCACCGCCCATAAGAGGGTCCCTGGAGGCACCGATGTACCTTTGAGGTTCCCTGGGTATACAGCTGGTTCTGGGAGGGTTCTTGGGAGCTCCGCCGCCCTTAGGAGGATTGCTGGGGACGCCGCCTGCACTGGGAGGGTTCCCAGGTTTAGCCGCTGTCCCTGGGAGGATCCATGGGCGGCAGGAAGAGGTGAGGAGGTAGAAGGATGTAGTGGAAGGCAGGAGGCGGTGGTGGGAGGCAGGAGGAGGTGGTGGGAGGCAGGAGGAGTGGGTGCAGGTAGGGGGAGGTGGTGGGAGGCAGGAGGAGGTGGGAGGCAGGAGGAGGTGGAGGGAGGCAGGAGGAGGTGGTGGGAGGGAGAGGAGGTTGTTTGGAGGCAGGAGGAGTTGGTGGGAGGTAGGAGGGTGGTGGGAGGCTTGAGATGATAATGGGAGACAGGAGGAGGTAGTGGGGAGGCAGTGGTAAGTGGGTGGGAGGCAGGTGGAGGTGGTGGGAGGCAGGAGGAGGTGGTGGGAGGTGCAGTGTGGTGGAGGCTGGCAGGGGGCGGTGGTGGGAGGAGGCAGGAGGAGGTCGTGGGGAGGCAGGTGGGGAGGTTGTGGGAGGCAGGTGAGGTGGTGGGAGGCAGGTGGAGGTGGTGGGAGGGAGGAGGTGGTTGGAGGCAGGAGGAGATGGTGGGAGGTAGGGAGGAGGTGGTGGGGAGGCAGGAGGAGGTGGTGGGAGGCAGGAGGAGGAGGTGGGAGGGAGGGAGGTGGTTGGAGGCAGGAGGAGATGGTGGGAGTGGGAGGAGGTGGTGGGAGGCAGGAGGAGGTGGTGGGAGGCAGGAGGAGGAGGTGGTGGGAGGGAGGGAGGTGGTGACAGGAGGGAGATGGTGGGAGGAGGTAGGAGGAGGTGGTGGGAGGCAGGAGGAGGTGGTGGGAGGCAGGAGGAGGTGGTGGTGGGAGGAGGAGGTGGTGGGAGGCAGGAGGAGATGGTGGGAGGTAGGAGGAGGGTGGTGGAGGCAGGAGGAGGTGGTGGGGAGGCAGGAGGGAGGTGGTGGGGGCAGGAGGTTGGTGAGAGGCAGGAGGAGTGGTGGGAGCAGGAGGGAGGTGAGGTGGGAGCAGGAGGAGGTGGTGGGAGGCAGGAGGAGGTGGTGGGAGCAGGAGGAGGTGGTGGGAGCAGGAGGAGGTGGTGGGAGGCAGGAGGAGGTGGTGGGAGGCAGGGAGGAGGTGGTGGGAGTGCAGGAGGAGGAGGTGGTGGGAGCAGGAGGAGGTGGTGGGAGCAGGAGGAGGTGGGTGGGAGCAGGAGGAGGTGGTGGGAGCAGGAGGAGGTGGTGGGAGCAGGAGGAGGTGGGTGCAGGAGGAGGTGGTGGAGCAGGAGGAGGTGGTGGGAGGCAGGAGGAGGTGGTGGGCAGGAGGAGGTGGTGGGAGGCAGGGGAGGAGGTGGTGGGGAGGCAGGAGGAGGTGGGAGCAGGAGGGAGGGGGGAGGCAGTGGGAGGTGGTGGGACTGGGGAGGAGGTGGTGGGAGCAGGAGGAGGTGGGGAGGCAGGGAGGAGGTGGTGGGAGGCAGGAGGAGGTGGTGGGAGGCAGGAGGTGGGTGGGAGCAGGGAGGAGGTGGGAGGGAGGAGGTGGTGGGAGCAGGAGGAGGTGGGAGCAGGAGGAGGTGGCAGGAGGAGGTGGTGGGTGCAGGAGGAGGTGGTGGGGCAGGAGGAGGTGGTGGGAGGCAGGGAGGAGGTGGTGGGTGCAGGAGGAGGTGGTGGGAGGCAGGGGAGGAGGTGGAGCAGGGGAGGAGGTGGTGGGAGCAGGAGGAGGTGGGAGGCAGTGGGAGGTGGGATCAGGAGGAGGTGGTGGAGCAGGAGGAGGTGGTGGGAGGCAGGAGGAGGTGGTGGGGCAGGAGGAGGTGGTGGGAGGCAGGAGGAGGTGGTGGAGGCAGGAGGAGGTGGTGGAGCAGGAGGAGGTGGTGGGGAGGCAGGGGGAGGTGGTGGGAGCAGGAGGAGGTGGTGGGGAGCAGGAGGAGGTGGTGGAGGTAGGGAGGCAGAGGGAGGAGGTGGGGAGCAGGAGGAGGTGCAGGAGGCAGGTGGTGGGCAGGAGGAGGTGGTGGGGAGGCAGAGGAGGTGGTGGGGAGCAGGAGGAGGTGCAGGGGAGGCAAGGGAGGTGGTGGGACAGGAGGAGGTGGTGGGGGGAGGGAGGAGGTGCTGGGGAGGCAGGAGGAGGTGGTGGGACAGGGGAGGTGGTGAGGGAGTGGTGGGTGGAGGTGGTGGGAGAAGAGGAGGGGAGGCAGGAGGAGGTGGTGGGGGAGGTGGGGGGGATGAGGGGAAGGAGGAGGTGGTGAGGCAGGAGGAGGTGGTGAGAGAGGTGGTGGGAGGAAGGAGGAGGCAGGAGAGGTGAGTGGGTGAGAAGGAGGGGAGGTGGTGGAGGCAGGAGGAGGGCAGGGAGGCAGGATGAGGTGGTGGGGCAGAAGGGAAGTGTGTGGGGAGGGCAGAAGGGAGGTGGTGGGAGGCAGAGGAGAAGGAGGGGAGGTGGGAGGCAGAAGGAGGTGTAGGAGGCAGGAGGAGGGGAGGCAGGAGGAGTGGTGGGAGGCAGGGGGAGGTGGTGGGAGGCAGGGGAGGTAGGGGAGGCAGGAGGAGGTGGTGGGAGCAGGAGGTGGTGGGGAGGCAGGAGGAGGTTGTGGGAGGCTGAGGAGGTGGTGGGGGCAGGAGGAAGTGGGAGGGAAGAAGGAGATGGTGGGAGGCAGAGGGAGGTGGTGGGAGGCAGGAGGAGGTGTGTGGGAGGGGCAGGAGGAGATGGTGGGAGGCAGGGGGAGGTGGTGGAGGCAGGGGAGGTGGTGGGAGGCAGGGAGGTGGTGGGAGGCAGGAGGAGGTGTGTGGGAGGCAGGAGGAGGTGTGGGAGGCAGGAGGTGTGTAGGAGGCAGGAGGAGATGGTGGGAGGGAGGGGAGGTGGGAGGAGGGTGGTGGGAGGCATTTGGAGGAGGGGAGGGGCAAGGAGGAGGTGGGAGGGAGGAGGGAGGTGGTGGGAGAGGGAGGAGGTGGGTGAAAGGCATTTGGAGAGTGGGAGGCAGGAGGAGGTGGGGAGGCAGGAGGGTGTGGGGGAGGCAGAAGGAGGTGTGTGGGAGGCAGGAGGGTGGTGGGAGGCAGAAGGATGTGGGAGGCAGAAGGAGGGGAGGCAGGAGGTGTGTGGGAGGCAGGAGGAGGGTGGGGGAGCAGGAGGAGGTGTGGGAGAGGAGGTGAGGGGAGGAGGTGGAGGAGGCAGGAGGAGGTGGTGGGAGGCGAAGGAGGTGTAGGAGGCAGGAGGAGGTGGTGGGAGGCAGGAGGAGGTGTGTAGGAGGCAGGAGGAGGTGGGAGGCAGGGAGGAGGTGGTGGAGGCAGGAGGAGGTGTGCAGGAGGCAGGAGGAGGTGTGTGGGAAGCAGGAAGTGGTGAGTCTTTGACACTCCTCACCTCCTTACTTGCAACACACAGGTGATGTATATCCTTAAGTAACTGTTTTTAATGCTGCCTTAAGATCCACTTAGAATAAACAAACAATATTTTTACAGTTGACCTTAAGAAATGAGAGACAGTTTTAGATTAGTAAATACAATTTTTTTATGATTTCTTTATTTTTCTTCTTTAAAAAACTTACATATTTTTTTCTCATAGAATTTCTACTACACTTGCTTATATCTATTGTGTGTAATTAAATTTCATAAATCTTCATTGAGCAGCCAACAAAGTACCTGTCTATAATTACTACTGAAGAGAATTTATGTTACCTGTAAACTTCATCTTTTGAGTGGCTCTTTTGTACCTGAGTGTATGTGGCTCCCTTGTTGATATGTTTGTGCACCAAGTTTATGGTTTAGGTTGAGTCCTCAGGTGGATGAGTTTGGGGTGGATAATTATGGTGGTGGGGTGAGATAGAGGTGGAAGTGCAGTGGTGGGTGAGTGCAGTGGTGGGTGACTTGGGGATAGATTGGGTGAAATTAGGAATAGGTGAGTAATGAGAATGGATGAGTTTAATGACTCACTGTGGGGTGTAAAGATGGGGTGGATGAGTGACTGGAGGAGACAGGATGGGTGAGTCTTGGATCTTACCTGTTCCATGACCACAATTATACTACCTTGATCACCTGTCAGTTTCGTCTCCAAAGGCAATTAATCTGCAAACATGATCACTGATTCATTTATAATTCACTACCGTATTCGGATTTAACCTCTTAGAGCAGAGACCACCTAATAATCCCTTGAGGTACAACGACTTAGACCCTTAGTACGACGACTCAGCCCTTGAGCACTACCATTTAATCCTCGAGTACAACGACGATGACCAAACTCCTTGAGGACCACCTAAACAAGGGGTTGGGCCGTCGTACTCATGGGGTTAAGTTCTCGTACTCAGGATGTGAATTAAACCCTCGTACTCAAATGGTTAATAAGGATGTTTGCCTCTTACTCGTGATTGTAGTCTTACACTCTCCCATTCATGT